CTACTTCCTAGCCCCTGCTTTATTTGTAGTGCAACAAGTGAGAAAACGCTGGTTATGGAAGTCAGAACTTCTTTGGGTAATTTAGGATTTAAAGGCATCTGGCAGCTTTTGGAGAAACCTATCTAAAGAGATTTACCTTTTCTTGTAGGCATAGGAATTAAAGTTGTTGACCACTCTGTCCCTTTCAAAACGGAAAGCCCATCTCTTGAGCTGCTGTCAACAGTATCAGAAGCTTCATCTTTTACACAAGGTTTACATGCCATTTAAAATTATTTTTGCATTTTTTTCATCTTTTGATCCCTTACCAAGTTCTCATATAAAACAACTGACTTGAACTGAATATAAGATAAATCCACAAAGCCAAGTCTCTTTTTGCCGTTAAGTCCTGCCTACAATTTTCATGAGCACTGCTTGTTCTTTGATAAGCCTTTTAAGTGATTAAATGGGAGATAAACTAATGACTTAAAGACAAAGCCACATAATACTAATTCATATACCCCGAAAAGAGTTGCTGTTGAATAATTAATTCCCGTGAGAATATATTTCTGGTTACTATTTTGAATGTTTAATGTCAGGCAGTCTGTTTTATATGTGCTTTCTCAACCTTATAATCCTCTATGTACTATTTTCATTTTCCAAACAAAGAAATTAAGGCACTTTTTTTTTCCCTTTCTGGTTTATCTCCATGTTTCTAATATGCATTTTTAATTCACCAATTTGAAATATTATCAGTTTTATGTTATGGCAGATGGGGATTTTAGCTCACTCTTCTTTGTTAATAGAATTCCTCTCAATTTTTTATTGAATACAATTTCAGTGTTTCCATGACATTATAATCTTAGTACATATACTTGGCTTAGGAAGAAAACATTTCCTTTCTTGTATAATTTTTTTCTAATACAATGCTGCTTTTCATTTGCCTGATTTCCTTCTAACATTTAAGTCTTAACATCCTCCACAGCTCTGTAAAATGTCCCACTATACAACTTTCTAAATAGCCTGACCTGTCAGATAATCTATAGGTCTAGCCTCAATCAACTGTGGTCTGGCTGCTAGATCTGCTTCACAGCTCTCATCCTAGGACTCCACTTTCTCTCTCCTGTGTTGGATTCCAATTCTAGACTCCAGGTCATATATTTTCTTGCTTTGACAAAGCGTATCCAGTAGCTTTCTGAGAACCAGTAAATGAGAAGAAAATCTTTTGAAAATCTGCATGTTTAAAAATGCATTTTATTATCACTTTTGAGTGTAACTGGATATATAATTCATTCAAGCTGTTGAAGACAGTACCCCCATTGATCCCTTAGCTTTCAATGTTGCTGTTGAGAATCTAAGACCAGTATTATTCTTAGTTAAGATCCTGGGTGGCACAAATGGTTTGTGTTTGACTGCTAATCTAAAGGTTGGTGGTTCAAACGAACCCAGCAGTGTTGTGGCAGAAAGGCCTGGCGTACTTCTATGAAGATTACAACCAAGAAAACCCTGTGGAGCAGTTCTACTTTAACACATGGGGTAGCCATACTCAGAATCAACTAGACAGTAACTGGTTCTTCATCTTCAGAACATCTTTTTTTTTTTCTATATGGAAACTTTTAGAATGGTTTTGTCTGGTGTTCTAAAATTTCATGGTGGCATTCCTTAGTATGGGTTTTTAAAATTTTTTACTGTGATGACTGAATAGTCCTTTTTATCTTGAGACTCATCATTTCATCAGATAAATTTTCTTTTATTGTTTTTTTAAATAAATTACACCTCTCCTATTTTCTTGGTTCTCTCCCTGGAACTCCTATTGGTTCAGTATTAAACCTCCTGAACTGATCTTCCCTCCCCCCGCCCCCCCCTTTTTTAATTGTACTTCAGGTGAAGGCTTACAGAACAAATAGTTTCTCATGTAACAGTTACTACAAATGTTGCGCTGTGACAATGGTTAACAATCTCACAACACATCAACAATATCCTTACTCAACCTTGTGTTCCCTATCACCAGCTTCCTTGACCCCTTCTGCCTTCTGACCCTTGTCACTAGACTATTGTACCTTGTTAGTGTCGTTTGGTTTTATGGGGCTGTCCACTCCCAGGCTGAACGGTGAACCTCGGAGATAACTTCACCACTAAAGCTAAAAGGGTGTCTGGGGACCATCCTCTCGGGGTTTCTCCAGTCTCCTTTAGGCCAGTAAATCTGGTCTTTTTTTGTGTGAGTTAGAATTATGTTCTACAGCCTTCTCCAGCTCTGTCTAGAACCCTCTGTTGTGATCCCGGTCAGAGCAGTCAGTGGTGGTAGCCGGGCACCATCTACCTGTACTGGACTCAGTCTGGTGGAGACCTTGGTAGCTGTGGACAATTAGTCCTTTGGACTGATCTTTTCCTTGTATCCTGTTCTCTTCATTGTCCCTTGCTCCCAAAGGGATGAGACCAGTGGAGTATCTTAGATGGCCGCTCACAGGTTTTTAAGACACCAGACACTACTCACCAAGGTAGAACGTAGAGCATTGTGTTTATAAGCTGTGTCATGCAAATTGAGCTAGATGTTCCCCGAGACCATGGTCCCCAGAGCCCTCCGCCCAGCAATTCAGTCCCTCAGGGAGTTTGGATGTGTCTATGGGGCTTCCATGACCTTT